GAATATGTCTTTGCTTAGTATTCCTGTAATTTCTTTAAGCAAAATTTGCTGGAAAAATCCGCAATAATTATTCATCAACCTAATATATAGAGGCAGGTAAAATGCAGGGAAGTGGAAAATATCAAAATGTTTGACCGTATTTGACCGTGTTTGACCACCAGGACATCATTTGTACTTGCACTAGATCACCTAATGAACTATCGCTGAAAAGTTATTGAGATCGCGGAATGACTGTGCCTCCTTCCAGTCTTTCTCGAGGTAGTAAAGCCTAATTTTGCGAATATGCGGATGATTTTTTGAGTATATTATTGTAGAGAAAATCAAGTAGATCGTTTCTAGAAAAAAATCCGAACTCAATATTCAAATTCTATCGTGAGAAAAAAAGCCGCGAAAAAATCCGCAATAATTATGCTTCAACCTAATATAAGTCGGATCTTTTCAGTAGAGCGAATTGATCATAAGCCATTTGTAATTGGCTCCTTATTTCAATCATTGCGTTTGAATCACTTACAGGCTAGTGTCGCCCAGGAATGTGTAGCTACTGTACCTTGTTGAAGCCTACTTCCATCAACCTATCTCTTTTGCAAAATTGGGTCAATCAAAACCGATAAAAGCTATCAGTACTACTGAAAACCCGCAATCGTAGGGAGATTGTTGAATTTTTTTTACAGACTGTCTTAATGCATTCTGGTCATCGCGTCAAGGACTTCATTCAAAATAAGTTTTTGAAAATCCAATTGTAACGAGAAGACTTGCTTTCGACCTGGAAAGTCGCAGCTCCCCAGCGAACACAAGTCCAGGATCTCAGACGATATTGATTGCTGCGAGGAGAACGAGTTCGTTCACAACATCAGCGATATTGTTTTCAAGTACCCACGTTGAGTGGTACTGTATTCGATTATTAATTTTCATGTGGGTGGTAGCCACTCGGGGCCGGCATCGCTCTCGATAACGTTCGCATCAAGAACCAATTTCGAATCAAGCACCAATGGAGGGGATAAGAGAGAATACTTGCCCCTTTCGACGTCTCCCGTACCCAACCGTCATGACTAGAAATCGATAAAAAACCTGCTCATATTCTCCATTTACGTGATCGCCATGTTGTTGTAGTCGATTTACCTAAACACCTCTGTATACAATGCAAATATATATCTCATCTAAAAAATTGAGGGTTTTGGCTTCGTTAGCCCTTCCTGCCATTAAGGATCTATTACTGGAGTCAATGACAAGTATTCTACTTTATGATCTGGACGTATTTTTCAATGCAGAGCATCTTCAATCCAATAGACTACGTGTGAATGGCATGTTTATATGAATTGTTCAATCCCATTCTTCTCCCATGAATGGCTGTTGTCCACAGGTGGCTGCTGGTGGCAAGTTGCCGCCCCCGAGCACTATGGTGAGGAGTTGTTCCTCGAAGCATAACACCTGAGCATGTGAATGAGTAGAATTGCCATGAGTGAGTCTAGCTATTACCGACATGGCGCTAATTTGCTGACTCAGACATACAATTGGATACAATTTCTGCCGAAAAATCCGGCATACTCTTCGGTTGTCAAAAGCTCACTGTACTCTATCACTTTAAGGATGGCCACTAACAAAAAAATTAGTTAGTATGCACTACAATATATATTGGTTTGGGCATCATTCAACCCAGTGGTTACGGTATTAGATTGCCCGCAATGTTGCGCAATATATCGCGCCATACAACTGAAAATGCAATGAAGCAAGTAAATCGCTCCCATAGAGATGCTAATTGTAGCTGTACAGCTAGAGCCATCACTTACTGACTAAAATTATATTGTACACTAGTGTATGTCGCACTAAACAAGGTCCCTATACAATCACATTCCCCTTTGCATTTCCAATCAGGTGAAGTGCTAACAATTTGTTTCGTGGTGCTAATCGTTTCGCCCATAGGAGCCGAAAAAGGATTGCCGCCCTTAGTCGGGGGCTGTTCAAACCACCTTCGATTTGTCTCATAATTAACCAGCGGCGGAAGAGCTATTCTGAGAGATTGCCGGTGTAGAAAAGGAAAATCGAGGCGACCGCAAGGCATAACACCAATTTCTATCTTGTTTTAAGACGATCGTCAAACAGACACCGTAGTTATTATGCAGTAATCGGGAATGTGAACAAATCCTCACAGAGATTCTGTTCTGAAGAAGACCTAATTGAAGTGTATACCGTTAAAAAACAATATTATCATGTACAATATTGACTTGAAGGTGGTACTTCAGGGTGTACCAAAATTATGGGCGCCAAAATTCAGGAACTTATAAAGCAGAGTAGTTCTTTCATCATTTCCACTTCATTCGCTTTTGATTAGTTGCACAAGTAGGTTTTCTTGCAATATGCATAGTACTGAAATGACACCCCGAATATCTTTCAGTAGGAAGTTCATTCAATGTCACTTCCGTTCGTTTGGATGAAAGAGGGGAAGGGTTAGTGAAATTCCACGTTATTCCAATACTGGCCGTTTATAAGGCCGGTAAACGGCAGATAGAAGCAGAACCAATTAAAGGCAAACTGAGCAGCAGTAGAAAGGTTAGTGTTTCCCAAGGATTGGGCTATTCAAGTAGTATGTTTGCGAGCGTGGTCCTGTGTGACCCAAGAAAGGGAAGGTAACTGAGCAGACATTAACGAAGTTGTCGATGTGACGTATTGTCAAGCAAGAAGTTTATAGCGATCCCTATCATATAGAAAATGTCACTTTATTTTTGATATTAAAAGGCAGTATAGGGCTAGAAATTCACAAGGTTGTTAACATGCTCTAGTGGAAACACGTATTTCTTCATTGTCTACATCGACGAGGAAAATTTTGCGACAAAGTCAGTCCCCAACAAATAAAATGATCGCGTTCTAGGCAGAGACATCAAAAATTCAATCCCTCTCGAAGAGTTGATATAAGAACAGCAAGACGCTGTATATTGAGGGATACACGACCAACGGTGAAATATCGTTAGTTACGTCCATACCGAGGTGAAAATTAAACAAGACCTTTATTTAGAGAGCATTCGAGAAGCCTGCTGAAGAAGCAGCTTTTGGTCCGTCCAGGAAGTTAGTACTCTAGCCCACAAAGCCAAGTGCGTCCAAGAATGGTGCCGATGCCAACTACCGTACTTAGCTTAGCGTTAACATGAAGGAATGGCCATCCTGTTATCTTTATCTGAACCCACTTGAATTATCCCCGTGATCTCCGAATACAAAAAAACCTGTCGAGTCTGCCATACCAGTTTGGAAAACAAGACCAAAGAGCTGCTGGGAAAATTGGAGGAGTGATATCTGTGGGCAACAAGCGAGGAAATCGAGAACAAACCTTGGCCCTTTATATCTGCTGATAGGGGATATTCTGAATCGTGATTGTAGGTTGTTGTTGCACATAATGTATGCGAATGCGTATACAAATTTCATCGTCATTCTCAGCTTCAAGGCTTAGAATACATTGCAACGAATAGGCGCCCATAGTTTTGGGACACCCTGTACTCTATAATCAGTTCAGTATTGAACAAGGTTGTTAAGCGAACATGGTGATAGTGAACGAAGGACCCAGCATTGCTTTGCCAGATTTCGCTGTGCCTTTAATGCCGCATGTATGATGTTATGTCTCCATTATGAGCAAGTATAAAAGTTTAAAGTTTTTGACGTTAATCAATCCCGTCTGAGGGATGCGCCCCGCACTCGACTTCCATTCAGAATTGTGGTGGCATAATGAGTCAGTATGCGGCCTATGCAATGACTGGTACCAAATAACCGACCCCGGAGGGATGGAAGGTGGTTGGCCTAGGCGGGCATCGATCCGGGATTCGAACTCCTAACCGTTCGTGTGGGATAGTCTGCCACTCGATACCAAACCACCTCCGCCCTTGTGAGCAAGTACATATGTACATTGTTGTTTAAAGGCACAGTTCACGATAATTTTGAGGTACACGTTTTTATTCAAAAAGCAGAAGTATGGATTGGGATTAGTTCATCCTTAGTAAAGAAAGTGAAAGAATTTGCCGATTTCGAGAAAAATATGGTTCCTCAAAAGGGAAAATAGAGGTTGGACGAGATCGCCATGGCGGAAATAACATGGAAGGGGTATTCGGACGTGATTACAAAAGTTGCAATCGCACAGGGATCCGAATACATCGTGCCAGAACTGTACAGGACTGCCTTTCATTGTCGCTATGGGTTATAACAAGTTGTTTAAGTCTCTTATATCTCTTGTGATCGGTGCAGCCTACACAATGCCGGTGAAATTCGTCCGATGATACACACGGCCCAATCTTCGAGCTTTTATAACTCCCTAAATAAGCCTTTTTCTGACCCAATAGTGCCAGATATGGTTTACGCATGAGACTCAAATTCATCCTGTGGGGAAATCTCGGAAACCAATTTCATCGTGAACCGTGCCTTTAATGACGGATTCTTCTGAAATCGTTGAATTACCTCCATGTTGATGCCATATCATAATGCTCAACTCCGAATTAACCAGTAATGATGACGACTCGGGTAACACGATGTAAACCGCTCCATTAGGCACACTCGCTTACTATACCGAAAGGAGTTAAATACAACGCGTTCTGGAGTGTAATGTTCTGTACGATGAACAGTAGAAAAACGTCAATTATCGGTCTATGCAACGTCGGCGCGCTATAATAGTAAATTCCGCAGAACCGTTGGCTAGATGAACGCAATCGTGGCTTTGTGGACAACCAAAGGTACAGCACACTGGATGCTCATGTATTTTCAAGTAGAGTATTCACGAGTTATGCGCAAAGTGAGGTAGTGCCAAGGAGGATGCCACCTCAGACCGTAGTCATTTCCAATTAATACTACCGTCAAACGGCTGTCCACTAATAAATATTGAAACTTCCTATGACTACCGAGGCGAGTGGCCTAATCAACTGTCGCCTCGGCAGAGTATAGGAGAGTTCAGTATTCATTAGTTGACACTGTCGTCGTGAAGGAAGGTACTTTGGATGATGTAGTCAGTCTCGGAAAGCATTATTATCTTTATTTGACAGGCGAAATTTGACTGCTTGACATGTATACGTTCTCAACACAATTAGAAATTAAACTGTTTTAAGACTCTGATTTCTGTTCAACACTACTTTAGCTGTTCGTGTTCGGCGTATTCTCCCTCTTGGGATACTACGGCCGAGACACTATTATTCTTGTTCTCCCATGGCATGGAAGAGTTGAAGTCGAAACTAGCCGGAAGGCATTTCTGAAAAAAAAAGTGGTCAGGAGCCGTCACTTACCTTCTGCGGCATTCTATAAATGGCGTCCAATTGAACAAAAATACCTTCATCATTACATGCAACAGCATTCACCCAAGTGCTAGCAGCACATCTCACCTTGATGATGTCTTTGAGGAAGTCGTACCTGGGCTGGTTCGGATCTTCAACGTTGTCATAGCAGTACGTGTAGTATTCCTGCAATTCCGTGCACATACCGCTGAACCTATAACGGCACCAATACCAATCAGCCCCGCTCTCACTAATTTCAAACTACGCTCTTGGCGATTCCAAGGATGTGAGGTATTGGGAGGGTACTCTGTGATATAGGATAAAGGCTAAAGTCTTTGGCGTTAATCAATCCCGTCTGAAGGATGCGCCCCCCGCACTCGACTCCCAATCAAAATCGTAGTGGCGTAATGAGTGCGTATGAAGCCTATACAATGCCTTGCGGTGGCCAGCCGATGTACGAGTCAGTGCTTTTATCCTCCCAGACGAGTCTGGTACCAATCAACCGATCCCAGAGGTATGAAAGCCTAGGTTGGCCTGGGCGGGCATCGACCAGGATTCGAACCCCTGACCGTGCGTGTGAGATAGTGCGCCACTTGCTACTACACCACCTCCGCCCACTCTATGGTCTACCAAACTGCACACACTTAGACCTCTAATAATGGTGCTACTTGACTACTCTACGATTCCCTTCCAATAATTGTGCTCAATTACGAAGCTTGTAACAGATTCTCGGAGTAAGTCTTCTTTGGATCCATCGACATTAAACCCCACCACGAGATGATTCGGATGTTAGTGCCGCTACTAGCGCCACTCAAGCTGCACTACCGAAACCTACGTAATGATGAAAGTAGTAAAAGAATTGATAATGAGGGGTCGCCAAGCATCAGTTTTTTTGAGACCTATCTACTAGCCCCCAGCCTGTTTCTGACTGGAAAAACATTGTGAGGAACTCAACTGACGGGAATAGTTCCTCAAACGACACGTTTCTCTTCCGTCTTGCGATGTCCTCAGGATCTCTTAGCCTTGTCCAGGGTAGAGTGCCTTCACATAGTTCAGCCATCGTGTAGAAATTCGATATTAAGTCATCACAAGTACACTGCAAATACTCCCAGTGAAGAAAATACCAAACATTATAATTCGTTGAGAGTGACCTGATCCCTCCTTTCGTGAACATTCAATGACACATAACGAAGAGTCCCTCGAAAGCCGACGTGACCCCGACGCCTTATTTTTCCTTTCTCCTGAACATTGTTGTAGGGAATGTGATAGCGAATATCACATAGTCCATGGAAAGCACACCTTAAATTGTCGTGCAAGCCCAAAATCTAACAAATAAATTCTTCGAATAGTCGCTGGTGATGATCCAACACACATATTTCCAGGTTTGATATCCCTTGAGCATTTTTATGAACTAGGCTCTGTAGACTACTACACCAAAGAGGATATACCTGTGAAGATATCCCATGTCGTGGAGAACTTTCAAGGTATCCGTCATGGAGAGACCGACGCGTAATGCCGTGGTCGCGTCGAATCTAAAAGCTACGAGACTGAAGTTTTTTGATACTAGAGGAATATATACCACCGACTTGGTTGGTAGAATACTACACGAGGCCATACGGAGACATTACTCTTCTACTGCACTCTGTGGTCGGTGACTGATAATGGATAAGCATATGGCAAAAGAACACATTTCTCCTGAACCGCTTTCATTCAGGGACCCTATGGCACAGTTGCAGGCATGAACAAAATGTAGCCTGGTTGATCTGGGAAGCAGCCCACAAGCAGAGCAGGGTTCATAAACATAATGTAGTTGACTGTGTGACCTGATCTTCTCTCGCACCCTCAGCAGACTGCGGCTTCATCCCAACATCTTAACTCCATGTGGGGTTGGAGCTCTTCATACTATCCGTACAGAGGGTGGAGTTTAAGAATGGTGAAATAGTTTTTCTCATTCGCTCTCTCAGTGACACCACGATGAAAAGTTCAGCAGTGGTGGATAAAGCAAATTATTTGAGTCGCTGCTGTTTCGAATCTGGGGTTACAATGCCAACGAGGCTCTACTAATCGTCAGGAATGTAGATGGAGAAATGCCACAGAGCATATAGAGAAGTAAAGTGACTCTAGATTGAGAATGTTTTGGGGCGCTTTGGGGCTTCGATCCATCAGCTAAGAAGTCATTTACCCACTACGCATTTGAGAGAAAGCGTACGGGAAGGCGATTTGATGTCACGCTAGGAACTGAAGTTCAACTACAACGTTCCCGCATTGAGTTAGGGAGAACGCATTTTCAGGTTGCCTCCACTTTCTAAACATCTGACAAAAGCGTACAGTGGAAAAAGTCTACCGCCCGTAAAATCTCGAAGTTCTGGCAATTAGCAACGGCCTCCTTGGTCATCCATTGTTAGATGCAGATGTTAATAATCTGATCCAATATGCTCTGTCATACCATTGCTTCCCCTTTCAGAATTCTGATCCAATGATTACATAATCACCACTTTATCCAAACCCCCTACAACACGAGAAGATGGAGCTTACCTTTTGCCTTCGCTTCTCTTCCTCAACTCTGATAAGCTCTTGCCTAGAAGCTCCATCACGATATATATGTGATCGTCGAATGTACCGCTACCGTACTGGAATAAGGAGGAACAGGTGTTAGTGAAGAGTGAGGCAATTTCAGAAAATTGTTGGCATGCTCACAGAGACCTCTGACCAATGCTCTTCAAATAGGAGAGCATTGAAACATGGGATTGTGTTGGGAAAAACAGGACTACGAATTACATGAGTTTGAAGATTATTATTCGAAACTTTCCAAGTTCATTGCAGTACAGACCATGCATGTTGACATCATCAAAGACTGTTTGAATCTCTAAACTCATCTAGTCGTGACGAANGACTACGAATTACATGAGTTTGAAGATTATTGTTCGAAAATTTCCAAGTTCATTGCAGTACAGACCATGCATGTTGACATCATCAAAGACTGTTTGAATCTCTAAACTCATCTAATCGTGACGAAGTTCATTCAAAATTCATTGCAGTGGGAAACAAGAAAAGAACACACACGCACATACAAAACGCAGGCACGGACGCAATGATTGACCACGACGTCGTAGGGTCCTTCTAAAGGAGCAGCTTGCTGTGAGTGACCGTCTATCACATGCTCTTTCGAGTTGATTCTTATTTCTACTGTGGAAGATCCGGTTACTGCGAGGTCATTACAATGCTTTTAGGTCAGAAAAATTGGTGCTATTGCTACCTCCAGGACGAATTCGAAAACATGATTGGTGAAGTTCTCAGTTACGACTAAAACGATCAAAGCCTCAGAAGGAGTCATGGTGATACTAAGATACAAGCGAAACTCACAATTCACGGAGCACTAACCCGGGTACTAAGGTTAGACTACGAGGTCTATCTAGAAGCCACTAGCCAACATCTTTGCGAAATCGATCCTTGAGTGCTTTTGCTTGTTTGGGCAATCTGGAGAGGTTGCCGATCTGATAATAAGCACAAACATTAAATTTTCATTTGTTCGAAAAAAACCGTTGTCTAGAAAATCCGCCCATTACAGCGAAGTAGGCATCGAAAGAGAGAGGCACGGGTCGAATAGAATTAGCCTCTGACATCTTCTAAGTTCTTCCGAGTAATTTACGAGAAGGCTCATAGTCTCCCAGACCACTGAATGCGACCTCACCTCATATATGCCGAAGTGAATATGCTTGATGGGTCTTAGAAACTTGGCTTAGCCGACGACATCGCAGAGACCACGCAAACAGCCTCCTTTCAAAACTGAAGATACTACAGCAGCACCTATGATAAACAGATGATGATCTGAGGGGAGTTGTTCATGAAGAGCCTAGAAAAGGAGCAGGAGGATTTCAGAAGAATCTCGGTGCTCAAACCAGCAGCTACTGCGGAAAGTTCTCTGGATTTTATCACTCGACCCAGTGAAGAACTTCAAAACTGTCCTCAGAATAGTCCTAATAGAAACAGCTTCGGCATTTTTGTGAGCAGCCATTCGTGTGAAAATTGAAAATAGATAATGAAAATTTTAGTCTCAGGCAGCCAATGAACACTGTTGTGCTTCTGAATACCGGAAAGTGTAACTTTGAAGTCCAAGAAGTTAACCTACCAGTTGTGGAAATTCGGGTTTCCCTTTGAGAGCGTATAGTATCTGTTGCTCCAGAATCATTCGTTGTGGTTCATGTCTCTTCTGCATAATTTTTACAGCTACGTGAAGATTTTTGTTCTAAATTGTAAATAGGGCTATAAGAATCTTTGGGCAAGTACAATTAGTGCTTCAGCTCGCTCAGCGTTTGTCACTCACAGAATCAAAAGCCTTGAATATTTGGCCATAACCACCAGCTCCAAGAACCTTTTGTAGCTCATACTTTCCCTTAAATAATCGAGTAATATGTAAATTCCTTACATTCCTTACTACATACTTCCCGCACACTCGATATTCCATACCTGAATAAGGGTTCCGAATGGTATCATAGGTACAGTTTTGCTTGGTCGACGGGATCGATGACGAGCTCTTTCTGCTGAGATCATCTAAAAGAAGTTTTGTCATTCATCAGGACTTGTGATTCAACCTAAACAGGTAATGAGTTCTGGACGAAAGTATATGGTTTCTAGCATGAAAGCTTGATTTTGTACCTTTTCTTGCCTAAAGGAGTTGAGAATTTTGTTGAACGTTTCAATGAAGGTTCTGTTGGCAACCGTAAGACTGTTCATAAATACGAGGCAGGAAGCCGCAGGCGATACTCGACAGCGGTGCTTGACATCGACGAATAATTCAACCTTAATCTTTCTCTGCTTTTGGTGCCCTATTAAGCTTTTACATCGTTGCGCGGCTTCTTATTTTCTGCTGCATGCTCTTCAGTGGACTTCATCTTGAATCTGGATACAGAGTATTGACACACTAGGCTAACCTATTCAATCTATTCAATTCAATAGTACTTCATTTGTTGTTCCGGTACATAGTTCGACCTACTTCTCTAGTGCGAACTTTACTTTACATCTTTTCTTTTGACATTTTTATCTTGAGTGCAGGTACATATTTATTGTCATCTTACGACAATTCCCTTACCATGGTTTTGTACCAGCCGACTATGAAGCAGCCACTTGAATGTTAGTGACGTTGCCTTGCATTGTTACCTCTTGCCCCATCAGAGCGCAAGCCAACATCTTCATTATGTGAACTGTCGGATGGCTCATATCCATGACCCTTTCAACCTTTTTCTTCACTATAATTTTCCTCTTTGTCACTTTCGCATTTTTTCCACGTTTTGCATACAAGGAATCCTGACTCTGGGTTTTGTCTGTTGATTGACTGCTAGGTCATGACTTCACATATTGTTAATTGTTGGTTTAACTACCAAATCTAAGACTGTGGTGCAATTCGAGCGAAGACTGTTGACTATCTGCGTGGTGTTGTGTGCAGAATAAACCCGCGGGGCAAGAGCAAAACCTCAAATTTCCTTCTCACAAACTGTGATTATTCCATACTGTATTTGTATTTGTACCTGGGCGGAGGTGGGGTAGTGGCAAGTGGCGCACTATCTCACATGTACGGTCAGGGGTTCGAATCTCGGATCGATGCCCGCCTAGGCCAACCAAGTATTCCATCCTTCCGGGGTCGGTGAATTGGTACCAGACTCGTCTGGGAAGATAAAAGCACTGACTTGTACATTGGCTGGCCAACGCAAGTCATTGTATAGGCAACATACGCACTCATTAAGCCATTATGATTCTGAATAGAAGTCGAGTGCGGAGGCACATTCCTCAGACGGAATTGATTAACGCCAGAAACTTTATCCTTCATCCTTTATAATTCCGCGATAAATTTGTGTGTCGGAGATTTGATCCTTGCACTATTACTGCGAATGTCTCGGACGACAGACAACATTCAAAAAAAGCTCATGCATTGCGGTTACTCAGAAGCTGACTGTGAAAGTCAGAAGACCAAATAGTGATTGCAACCCTTCTCCGAGGTAAGCGTTTTTTTAAAACTAAGCCATGACTACAGCCTAAATATTCGGGTGGACGGATTGAATGACGAGTAGTTCCGATTTCTCGCTTGAGAAGTTTGTTTGCGGTTGAATTCAGCGAAAGTAATGCTTATGAAGGAACCTTAATATCTAAAATCTGCAAGCTCCCATGTTTGTTTCGGGAATCAAAGTGTAGATTGACACAGCTTTAGCTCAAGCAAGGAACGTCGGATTTGGTGTGCATTAACGTAGCGCAAACGGTCGTTAATCTTATCGCTTGGCTGTCGAAACTATATCAGTTTGACTGACAAGTAGTGATCAGAAATCATGCACCGGAACGGCGTGTCGCGCTCGGTGGTGCACTGCGAACAAGCTATCCTACCACATATAATTCGCTAAGTGTGCGAAATGGTTGAGCGGGAATTTATAACTCCTGCTCAATGGATCTAAAGAGTTCAAATTTGGTAAGATTAGAGCTTCTCGTATTATCAATGGAAACTCGGCACTTTAATACGTGGTGACGGGATCGAAGTAGACGGTGATAGGAGACGATGACCAACGATAAGTGAAGGGGACTAAGAGAGCAAGAGCCACCTACCTATCAAAATTCTATTGCCTTCGGTATTTACGATGCAGCCTTGACTGTTCAGTATGTTTCATTCGATAATACAGGACGGCAGGGTAGGGCGACAAGGGCGAGTGGTAAGTACAGCATACGACCCATTAGCGGCACTACGATAAGCATATGAGACTTTGTTCTTTTCTTGCTATTAGATTACCGCCGCTACCCAGCACGGTTTCTGACTCAATGTAGAATCCTTTTGTTCGATATCATTTGCGACGAAACTTAACCGACCGTCAGCTTTCTGAAATTTTCAACTAATATCTCTGTAAAGAAAAATGGTCCACTGATAACATCTCATAATGATGTTATCATCTTTCTT